ACCCCCCCATAAACACTGAGGCTGCTCCAACTCACAATTGCTCTGCTGCCGCACTCAGCACCTTGAGGGCTGTGAGGAGTCTCCAGGATGGTCCCTCCCAGCCAAAGGTCAGGTTCCTGCACAGTCCAAGGGATGAGAGGAAGTTCAGGTGAACTTTACAGGGAGTTTTCTTCCTGAGACACATCAGCCAGGGTGATCTCCAGCTTTGACACTGGGGTTTATAAATTCTCCATCTCTCCCAAGCAGTGAGTTTGTTAAAAAACAAATAATTCTATATTTTTTTTGCTGGATTTTGATACTAGAAGCAAAATTTGACTTCCAGAAAAACTGAATTAAAATCTCATCAGGAAACAAAAAACTCCAGATACTTACTCTAAGAAACCATGATCCTTTAGAATGGAAACTTTGGCCTTTCTTTGCTTGTCCAGTGGTGAGAAATATTTGAGGAGAGTATCTGCAGAAAAATAGAGTTTAAATATTTAAATGAATTGTATGTATGAGAATCTACAATCATCAATTCTGAGAAGAGATTTCAACCATATTTTTAATAGGTAGGACTAAGATCAAGCCCTGTTAAATGTTGGAGAACTTTCCAGAATTCTCAAAAGCTGTCAGCACTCTCCAGGATTGTGTCCTTTGAACAGAAATCCTGACTCCACCTGGAGTTATGAAACACTCCAAGCAAGTTCAGTTTGTGGAGATCTGGATTTCAATCCTCAGTGCTGCAATCTAAGACATCCAGCTGGAATCTCTACACAGATGTTGGTAATAGTAACATTTTTTTAAATAAAATGGTAACAAAAAACCATTTTAAATTAAGCAAAAAATTAAATCATTAAAGAGGTATCAAACCCTTTTGCACTCCTTGAGAATTCACACACTCAGTGCTCAGGTTTTGTGCCTTTCAGTGCTCAGAGAATCCATAAATCCAACCTGCTGAGACATAAACACTGCTGTGAGGGTTGTCCATGGCCACAAATCCATATTCCAGCAGCAGCCTCTGATTGTCATGAGGTCCATAGCAGATCAAAACTTCCTGGTATTTTTTGCATTGGGAATTTGTCCAAATTTCATAGCTCCTCGTCTGCTCATTAAACCCAGCCTTGACCTTCAGGGAGTGAAAAATAAAAGGGTGAAAAAGGAAACAAATTTGAATTTTGAAACCCCTGAGGATTGAAATTCTTGTTGAGTTGTGGGGATNCATGGAAAATAATCACAAGAGAATCCCAATTCCAAATGAAGTTTCTGCAGTTTAAATAAGGGTCCTGCCCTGAAATTATCTTTAAAAAAATTCTCTTTTCTCCAAACCAAGGAGCTCAAGCTCTGCACTTCAGGAACCCTTTGTGTGAAGGTCAGCAAAGAACAAAATTATTCTAATTAATTTTTTAATTATTCTTTGCTGCTCAATTCCATGAAAAGAGAAATAATCTGGCAATAATCCCTGAGCAATTTCAGCTGTCTCAGCTCCAGGGGGCTCAAGCTGTTCCTAAATTCAGGTTGCAAAGAATCTCAGCTGATTTTTGAAGGATCTTGAGATCTTCTGAGCGCAGCATTTCCACCAGAGCCAGCTGGGTTTTCAGGTTCTCTTTGTCCTTTTTCAACTGGGAAATCTGGAGTTGAGACAAATGGGATGCAATGATTCAAAATTTGGATTATTTAACAGGACATGAAGAGAAAATCTGTGCAAGTCTGTAAGGATTTTATTGATTATGGTAAAATAGTGGGGTTTTTTAATTCCACAAGAGAAATTTTGATAGTAAAAAGGAAAAAAAGGAGGGGAAGGGAAAAATGATCAAAATCTCACTCAGAAATGCCAATGTTCTGCTAGAGAAAGGAATCTGAGCTGCCTTTTTCCCAATTACCTGGACAAGGACATGCTGGGTCTCCTCTATTAAAAACTGACAAATTTTTGCTGCTGCAGCCAAAGCCTGCTGCTCATTCCTGGCTGAAGAGACACCACCAAGCAGGATCCTCCTCCAGCAGGCACTGCAACCAAATGAATTGAAAAATTCAGAATTCAGAATTCAGAATTCAGAATGATTTGCTGCCCTCCCCAGCTGGATGCCAAACGTGGCTCTGCTGCCCTGGGCTCAGAACCCAGCCCAGGGATTTATTTTTAGTTCTCAGATCAATTTATTCCACTCAGCAATGAATCCTCAAAGCACAAACAACTCTGAACAAGCCTTTGCTCATTAATTTATTCCCTCATTTCATTTATTCCAAGCAAATTGCAGGTGATCATTTTCAGCAACTTCCCTGGCCCTGCAATTCCAGCCTGTGGAACACATGATTCAAGGAAATCAAACCAGGTTAAAAGCATTTAAAATTTCATCAAACCAACAGGAAAAAGGCCTGAAAGGAGCCTGAACCTTGAGGGAATATCTGGGGCTTGAAATAGAAAGGGAAAATAATACAGGAAAGGAAATCACCAAAGCAGCAAAAGGGGAGGGAGTTTACAGCCAGTGGTGTTCTTTGCTTTTCTTCTTTTCATTTCTCACCTGGGGTCAACAAATGAGACAAAAATTGTCCCAGTGTGGCACTCACAGCCAGCAGGGAACAAAGAGTGAGGGGAAACAGAAAATATTGAATGGCTG